TTCCTAATTAAGCATATTCAGGTTATAAGTTTACAATTTATAACTGCATCAGATTCTTCTCAGAATCTAAATCTGATATTTTCTTTCTTTTGCTCTTACCATTTGCAGCCCTGTTATCCTCTTCAATCTTCTAGAGATGCACTTGCTAAATGTGATGTCTTGCCATTTTCATCATTATCAAGTTCAACTTTGATTCTCACTGGCCTTCTATAACCTCATTCATTAAATCCATGTCTCTATAAAACATCTATAACACTCACATTGTTATTTCCTCCCTAACCTTGGCTCAAAAAAGCACAACCGCAAGCTTTCTCTCTCAACATCTCTTATCAAGTATCTTTATTATGCCTTCATGCTCAGCCAGTAATTTCTGAGTAAGAGAATACTGACTCACTCTGCTCCCTGGGGTGCTGTTGGGAGCATAGAATATTATCTGCTTTTTTTGCAAGCTCTTCAAAGCAGATTCTAATAAGAGCAATTAGAATACACATTCCATGCACTGTTATAGTTACAATAGCTGAGTTTGGCATTAATGCCACATTAGCAAGACAAATGGAAATATACTGGTTATATGACCACATTCTTTGATTTTATAAAACTGATCTAGTGAAAGATGTCCATGCAAGGGAGTTGGACTATAGAATCATAGAATGGCCTGGGTTGAAAGGGAACTTAAAGATCATTTTGTTCCAATCCCCCTGCTATAGGTAGGGACACCTCTCAGAGACCAGGTTGCCTGGCCATGAACATTGCCAGAGATGGCCCCATGGCATCCACAACTTCTCTGGGCAACATGTTCCAGTGCCTCACAATCCTCACTGAAAAGAATTTTTTTCTAACATCTAATCTAAACTACTCTATTTGAAGCCATTCCCCCTTGCCCTGTCACTACAGTTCCTGATGAAGAGTCCCTCTCTGTCTTCCTTCAGTAGAGCCCCTTCAGATACTGGAAGGTTGCTATGAGGTCCCCATGCAACCTTTTCTTCTCCAGACTGAACAGTCCCAGCTTTCTCAGGAAAGATGCTCTAGTTCCATTATCAACTTTGTGGCCCTTCTCTGGATTTGCTCTAACAGTTCCATGTTGTTCTTATGTTGAGGACACCAGAACTGCACACAGTAGTCCAGGTGGGGTCTCACGAGAGTAGAGGGAGAGAATCACCACCTCTGACCTGCTGGCCACACTGCTTTTGATGCAGCCAAGGAGTGCTTGGCTTTCTGGGCTGCAAGTGCACACTGCTGGCTCATGTTGAGTTTTTCATCAACCATCACCCCAAGTCCTTCTCCTCAGGGATGCTCTCAATTCATTCTCTGCCCAGCCTGGATTTGTGCCTGGGACTGCCCTGACCCAGGTGATCAACTAGATGATCTTTAAAGGTTCCTCCAGCTCAAACCCTTCTGTAATTACAGAATTTCAACACAATATTGATTGCATGAAAAAGGGGTAGCTTTAATTACTAGGAACTGAGTTTATTAAGTTGCTTCTCAGTAATGAGTGCTCCTTTTGGCAACATACAGGGTCTTTGTCATTGATAGAAAGCTTACACAATCTCCTGCTCAATTAAGCCAGCAGATGTCTGAACTAGTGTTCCTGTTTAGCTTGTGACATTAGTTATTCAAACAGTTGAAATCATGTTCCCAAGACAATAGCAATAAATTATCTTTTCTAATATTACTTATGAGACTTATATATTTAATATAATTATGGAAACACGATCCTCTGCAGCATTATTAAGCTTATAGTTGCTCTACAGTGATCCTAATGAACTAGTATGTCAGTGTTTGAGGTCATGCCATATGTTCTCTGCATCCTTACCCGAATACATAACAGGGTTTATTAAAGGTGAAACAGTTATAATAATGCATATCCATTTTATTATTTTTTCTTTTTTTAGGTTAAATGAAGGAGATGCTTACTATGCACTCAAGGATTTTTCACTCCTCATTAAGTCTATTGGGTATGATATATATTGTACTCTAAAAAGGACAAGTTTATTTCATTTTTAAAGCAACTTAAAATGGAACAATGCTCTTTTTTTTTCTTTTATTAAAACCAGAACAAGTCTGAGTGAGCTGTGTGATGATCCAAATGATAATGTTCTACTGGCGTTTCAACAACTGGGTGAAACCTATGAAGAGAAACTGAAGCGTATTACCTGAAGGAAAAAAAGAAAAAAAATCCCAACCAAAGCAGCAGTACACAATACTCTTACAACACAGATCAGCAGCCTTTAAGTTAGAAAGTGACGAGATCCGAGTTATCAAAATTTCAGAATAAAGCTTTAGTTCATAGCCAATATTAAGAATACAGTTTACTCCAGGAGGTTAACCTTTACAAAAATTGATGTTTTATCAGCTCTAATGTCTAACTAAATAATTGGTTTTAATAGCTTATAAAAACTAGGTAATTGCACTTTCTGTTGCACTTGTTTTTTTCAGGCAGTGGCATGTATGTTCAGATAGCTCTCAGAAATATACTGACCAAATGCCACAGTTCTGACAGCTGGCAAGATTAGCCACTCAGTAGGACAGCACTTGAAGTTTTCAGCTCCTTTATGAAGGATGTTTGTGAATACTTTGGCAATTATAATCAAACAAACTGTTGTCTTTCAAGGTTTCTATTAAATCATGAAGTACTATCTTTATAGATCATTATAAAAGCTTTTAAACAGCTATGCAGGTTTAGTCTACAAAATTTTAAATATAGAGAGCATTTTATACCAGTACAGTGAAGTCTGATACACGAAATGTTCCAAACATATGTAGAATTGCTTCATTTTTAATATGTTGTATCTTTAAGAGTCAGGAAGATCCAGGACACGTATAACACACGTCAAGAAGTGCATATAATACAAATTATTGAGTTTAATAAAGTATGTTTTCTAACTATTTTCTTGATGGTTTGGGTTTTTTTGGTTTTGTTTGTATTTCATTCTGGGAAGGGCAAAGTTTCCAGCAGTATTTTCATACAAATGCCTCAGTTTAACACTACCTGTAATCTCAAAATACACACATACCCATGTTTAGACAATCTAGGAAACAGAGGCTTTGACAACAGTCCTCATCACCACACAGAATATTATAATGATGATCAAGACAGCAATGAAAGTTATTCTCTACTGATAATAAGCAAAACATGCATTAATGACAATTCAGAACCTAATTTCTTCAACTTAGCTCTGATGTTCATCCAAGATCACTGACCAAAGTCTTTGTTTGAATCTCTTTGGGTGGCATCAAACTATATGCCACAGGAGGAAATCTGCAAGTAGTTGAGTAGTGCAGCTGAGCTACCATCAGCTGACCTGAACTTTTCTTTTCTTCTTGGTTAATGTGTGAAAGAAAATTATGACAGAAATGGAACATAATGGTAGAAAAGACTACTTTAAGTCTGCTTGGAAAATAAAATTTACTCAAATTATTCTTTACTGACTGGCAAGCTGTGCCATATATATAGATAAATCTTGCATATCTGTTCCTCAAGTAGGGTAGAAGCACCATTATTTAGACCTTTCCGTGTTCATGTTTCCTGAGATAAATGAAGTAATAGTTTTAGCAAAGGCACAGTTAATTGACTAAGGAATAAAGTCAGAAATTGGTCCTATCGTGTTTTCAGTTATTTGATCAGTAAGCACAAAATCTTGGGTGAAAATCACACTTATTAGGTCTGTTTTGGGGTACTAATTTTATTTGTTGAAAACTGTAATGTCTCTTAAAGGATTAAGTAACACGAGCGAACACTTCACTTTTAATAATATACATAAAAAGCACCTCACTCCTCCTATGGCTTTTAGTAAGAAGTCAATAGTGAAATTTGACAAGGCAAAATGAACAAGGCACCAACTTCTGAGAATATAAAAAAATTGGTAATTCTACTGATATGGTGCCTGGGTGGACTGCAATTGTACTGTGACCTATTGCAAATAAGCCTCCTGCTTACCACTTATCTCCCCTGTAAAACCTTAACGCTGAGCTACAAGGCACTTAGACAACAATGTGATCTCTGACACCCACAATTTCTACTTTCAAAATAGTGTATCTTAGTCTATTTGCTTTATGATTCTATGATGGCGATTTTCATTGAAAGACAACATATCAAACTCATGAAATAACTCTATTAGAAAGGAACAGAAGATAGGTAGAAAACAATAAGAAAACAATTGTAAGAAACTCCATTGAATTAGATTAACCCTAGCTCATTAGGAATTTTTTGTAATTGTAGCAGAAAACTGGTATTTTCTACAACTTTCTGGCAACAAATTTTCTAAGTGTATTATCTGACCCTGAAATTGTTCATTACTGAGACCAGCCTCTGTCCCTGACACTCTCTGCCATTATCATCTCACTTGGCCTTTGTCTTCCAGTGATTTGACTTAACACCTTTTTAACATTTCTCTTCTACACAAGCAGAAGAGTATGACAAGAATGTCTAGTGATAAAAACAGAAAAATTCTTAAGAGAAAACTGAAATACAGTAAGATTTCAGAGATGAACATAAAGAACTATAAAACTAATAATAAAAAGAATTTTTATGACCTTCCTTACTATAATGCAGACAGAAAGGTAAGATTATTAAAGTCTTACAAATTCTAGAAACTACTTTTTCAGCACATTTAATAGAGGAATGCACCATCACAGAAAAATTGAGGCTGAGAATTTAACATAAATAAAATTAGGTCAACATTTCCTAAACTTACAATAGTATTTCCACATATTCTGTCACAGTAACTATATTAGTAAGTCTTGCAGAGATTTAAGTAATATTTCTCTTACAAAGTTAGATATAATTTACAGATCATTGATTTTTCTAGTTGCCAGTGAAAAATTCTGAAGAAGTATTAAAAATTTTGCATTTGGTTTAATACTTGCCATATCTACCCAATATTAAATTATGTCAAATCTGGCACCAGCTTCTGCTGAAGAGCCAGCAGTAAATGAAATAGAATTATAATTTGAAATAGTACTCCTGTCTATGTATTTCAGTAACTAAAGCACAATTATCCTTTGGATCCAACAAAATGGCTAATAAATAGAAAATATGGCCTTTTTATCCTCACTTTGTATCATATTTCACATACTAAAAATTCAGTGAGTTCTGAATCATTACTACATTTAGTGAGTAGTCATAGAATCATAGAATTGTTGGGGTTGGAATGGATCTTTATAGATCATCTAGTCCCAACCCTGCCTGCCATGGGCAGGGACACCACTCACTAGATCAGGTTGCTCAAGGCCTCATCCAACCTGGCCTGGAACCCCATCAGAGTTGGGACAGCCACCACTTCCCTGGGCAACCTGTTCCAGTGTCTCACCACTCTTACAGTAAAAAACTTTTTTCTAAGTGCTGTTTTCATTTTTTCCTGTTGTTACATAGCTTTTAAAAGAAAATGTTTGTGTTTTAAAGGCTAGATTCTCCTAATGCTTTCATCAAAACAGCAAGTTAGTATCTGTCCTCATATACCCAAACTGTTGCCAAAAGGAACTGAAAATTAATTGTGGTTTCCTTTGCCTAAAGGCAGCATTTCAGAAGTGTAGCTGACACCCTTCTGCAACATATAACAAGAACACTGATGTGGGGTTTCAATTTCAAAAGCATGAGAGAAACCATTGAAATGACACTAGAAGTTGCACCTTCAATATGCATTAAATACATCACAGAAAAGAAGAAAATGGCCAAATGGAGATACACAAAATAATTTTCAGAAATGCCTTCAATATTCTTTATTTTCCCTGTGGCTCTGCTCCCTCCCCACCTGTGAGGTGAATGCTATTGGCTATACTTTTACCCATTTAAGCCGAGTGCAAGTGCTGCTGTACCCAAAAGCTATATACTGTCTCTGGCTACTGAGGCTTCACGGAACCAGCTTTCTGAGACACCTCTGTTCCCCACCACCCACACATATCGCAGGCACTTCTCAGGTCTGCATTCCTGAAGATAAAGAATCTATGGCCATACCTGGGTCTTGATCAAGACCCAAGGTCTTGAGGTCGTGATTATACCATAGAAATCACTTTATTACGTTGTACTTGCTGACAAGCAGTTATGTTTCTAACATGGAGATACCTCACTGGCAAGAATCATGGAGAAGAACAGCTATAAAATCATAGTATCCCCACTCTGTAATGTGTTAAGTAGCATTTATTTAATTTCAACTTACTAAAGTATAAAATCTGCCATTTCACTCTCTTCATGCCTCCGATTTTCTTCTCGTCGACATTTTGTCTTCGGCAACAGAAAAATACTCCGATGCACTGCTGGCATCGGTAGAGACAGATGTTTGACTTAGCTCTTCAGTATCAGAATTGCTGTCATTTGGCATTTCTCCTGTCTCATTTAATGCAAGTGCAGAACCTCCTAAAGCTGGATCACTGCATGTGCCAGGAGCAGAACAAACTGTGTTCTCAGACTGTACAGACTCAGGTTCATCTCCTCTCCTAGGACACAAACAGTTGTTTTCAGTGACAGTTTCTTCATCTTTTACCTTTATTTCTTGCTTTGTCTCTGTAGTAACCTGAGTGGAAGATGCATTCTCATATTTAACGGGAAAGACAACTGAACGTGAAGGCTGACTACAAGAAGCGTTACCATCACCAAGCACTTCCGCATTTTCAGCTTTCTTAGATGAGTTCATAGGAAAGCATGAACCTTCACATCTTAGATTAGTATGACCAGAAGCAGGCTCTCCACACTCAGAAGATACAGGCTTTCCTAAATTTAGAAGTGATTTGTCAGAAGACGTGGTCTTCTCCTTTTCTAGTTTTACAGTTCTGCTTCCACAAAAAAACAAGGAGGAAGTAAGCGAATCCGAGTTATTTCTGCCAATGGCTCCAAATGAAAATACTGGTGAAGGCAATGGGAAGTTACTTTTGAAGGAAAACGCACAATTACTGGTGAGAAGAGTAGACTCAGAGACATCATTCACCCCAGCTGCAGTGTTGGTTTCTGAAGTACTGCAAGCCACAGTTGTGCTGGATTCTGAGGCATCAGGGCTTTGTTCACCCAACACTGGTTTCTGCTTACCACATCCTGCAGTTTCCTTTGCAGAATGCCTTTTTTCTCTTGTGTGAGATGATGTATTCTTGTCAGATGGCTTATCAGATCGGCTAAAAAATGAGGATAACGGTAAAACCTTAAATGAATTGTTGACTCCTGATCCTGCAAAACAATCTCTTTCTGAATTGCCAAAGGGAAACAAAAAATCTGGCTTTGCCCTTTCTGCTGAGTCTAAGTTAGGACTGGTTGAAGCATCACAAACTGTGGTTTCAGAACCACGTTTATCCTGGTTATTGGTTTTATCCACATTATCACATTTCCCTAGATAAAACTGAGGGAAAGCACATTTCCTGTCTTGCTTTTTAAAGGAAAATGTGCCTCTATCTTTAATAAATGAGTTGTTCCAAGCAGTGAAAGCAAAAGGCAAACCAGAAAGTCTCTCTGAAGAAACATCTAGAGATTCTGAATCTGAAACTGATGCTGCTGGTTTTAAGCCGGATGAAGTGCTAGAATTTGCATCCATTTCATTGGAAACAGTAACTGCAGATGCCTGTATCAGCATTTTTTCTTTAACCAACTCTTCAGAGTTTTCTGACAGTGCTGGAGTGGTTACTGCCTGAGAACTTCTCTCCTGAAATAATTTTAAGTCACCACGTGTTTTGGAAAAGTTCGTATCTGTGGATGGCACACTCTGAGTACTGGTTCCAGCAGAGTTTATTTCATTAAAGCCACTGGGTCTTCGTAGGGACCCTGTTTTTATTTTATCTGTGGTGTTGGCTTTGGTAGGTGAAGACACTAAAGGAGTTCTTGAGGACCTGTCCTTCAAGGCCTCAGCAGTTACAAATTTATACTTTTTATTTGCAGGTAAAGCTTGTGCCTTGAAGTCACTGGTTGGCTTCTGTTGTTCCATGTAGTATTTGTAACGTAACTCCTACAATTACAGCAAGAAATCCCATTATCTAAAACGACATTTGTAGATTCAAATGTTATGAAACTCACATATGATCATAAGCCTGAAGAAAAGTTTTCATATATTCTATAGCATTTATGATGCATTTTCCTTTGCTACTGGAAGGCAACAGAACACAAGTCATTATGGAGAAACAGTTCTTTACTAGCAATTGAACAAGATACACGTGGAACTCTGATGACAATGCAGGTTTTGGAAGAGGATACCATAGAAAACTGCATTTAAAGTCACTATCAAAACCAGAAATATCTAAAAATATTAGCTTAGCCATTAAGTGACAAATTCTCAAACTGTCAGGATAAACAGCCATCTGAAATTATATTACATGTTGGAGTTTTTTGTTATACATAATTGCATTCTTAATGGCAAAAGAAAGCAGATGTTCTCCAAAATAATACAGCAACAGAAAAATAATTCTATATTGAAAGGACCTAAGCAACTTTTTTATTCTATCATCTGCCACAGGTATTCTCCAAACAGGCGTAATGTGATTCCTAACTGTAACTAGAATCATTCTGTACAGAACAATATTCAGCCATCCACATGAACTGCTACTAAGTGAAAAAAATCTAGTTGTATAACTACATCATTGGAAGAGAAACAAAAAAAGAGACTGGATTTAGTTCCATGGCAAATTATTATGCAGTCTTAGAAGACAGAATTCTGTTATCTTCAGAAAACAGAACAGGGGCAGATGACTTCTTCAAATAGGCAGTAGGGAAGCTCATTTGGATTAGAAAGCTACAGATATCACTCAAAAATCCACACTAAAATATAGAAATAAGTATTTAAAGCCAGTAGTGAAATTAAATCCTGACAGCTTTAATATCTAGTCAGGTCTCATTCTATTATTGGAAAGATAACTTTCCACTAAGAAAATCGAAAAATATTATAGAAGCTTATTTATAAAGTTGCAGCATAAGAAATAGTAACTTTGCCATACTTACAACAGTTGTTCAATCATACCTCATGACTCATATTTTGAAATGCTGGCATTTCTGATATTGACATAAAGCGAGTAGAGATCCTGCTGCCGCCTGCTTCATCCTGTCCTGCTACAGGCTGAAAAATGTTTTTCAGTAGACATTAGAGTTCATTTTGATAAGCTAAACCAGGCAAAATAGTACAGTGTTGTAGACCCATATTCAATAACTTACAAGAAACACATTAGGTACATTCTTCTGGTCCAGCCATTGCTTTATGTTACTTTTAAATAGAGCGTTGCTTGTTGAGTTCTCATTTCCGTCATAAGGCAGATCTATTGGAAAGAACACAAGAATACTGATGGAGAGCAAATTAAATATGGAAAATACTGATAGGTTCCTGTGCATCTAAATATAGACTCCAATTAAGAACCAAAGTATATTGAACTAAGTGAGACCCCAGTCCGTGCCAAAGCTACTGCGACATAAACCAAGAGGCCTGTGTAAGAAGTTTTCTAAATGCTTGGAGATGCCTTCCCTGATTGAAAACCTAGTGCTTTCTCTTAGAAGGTAACAGCATTTAATCCAAGCACAGCTGACATTTCCATTACACTGTAACAAACATCCATCTAGTTCAGCAACACATTTTTGACAGAAGCTAGCTATACTGCTAGGATACAAAAATTGTGATACTTCCCCCAGATTCCAAAAATACAGCCTAGGAACTTTCTAGAGAAATTCATAAAATACATCTATCACCCATTACTCTGCTCAGATGCTTTCTGAACACTGGCATGCTTTTCCACACAGATTGTTTATTAGCAATTAGTTCCACAAGCTGCAGGTTTCTAGACAGACTTCCTAGGTCTTAATTTAAGTCCTTCTTCCCTACCTTTAACAATTCTTGCATTAACAGGTGTTAGCTCCAAAGCTAAGATTTCATTAACCACAGATGTGATATCCATCTTCTTTTGCATATACTCTGGTGGTTTTTCCCAGCTAGATGCTATACTCATCAGGTCAAGCTGAGTTTTCATTCTGAAAAAGGAAAAAAACAAAAAAAACCCCAACTTAAACACTTTTCTTAATGTTTACACACCAACTGAATCACACCTGTCTAATACAAAAAAATATTAAAAACACTAGAAGGCAGAAGAAATAAAAAATTAAGTCTTCATTAAAGTGTCAAGTAGTGCCTGTAGTTCAGCAAAAAGATTACCCTCCTCCACTTTTCTTAGTATACTTTGCCTGAATCTAAATTATATTCCTTCTTCAGAGGGCATTGCTAATGTTAGTCTGAAACAACATATTTTAAAGAACTCCATTTACAATATTCTTTCTTGAACTCTGCTTAAAAAGTTATAAGAGCAATTAAGAATCTTTAGAAACAAATATACACTACAAACACAAACACAGACACTGCATATTCTCCATATACCCTCTCAGATGTACAGATTTCTGTGAAAGCTCCAAGCATGCTTCAGTGTTTTGGAGTTTAAATAACATATCTAAAACATCCATCACCAAGTATTAAAGAATTTCTATGTTCAGTTTTTGTCAGGGAGCCAATTCAAAAGCCTGATTATCGCTAATCCCAGATAGCACACCACTAAAATTCTTAGCACACTTCCTAAAATTCAGAATGTGAAGCATTTAAATATCTGAAAGTATCATGATGTCTTTATTACTAAATACTATTTTCATTTTAAATCAACCTTATCTGATTATATCCAAAGTAACTATTATTTTTATTTTCATTTTAAATCAACCTTATCTGACGATATCCAAAGTAACTATTATTTTAAGCTTTTAATCTTAAAACTACACTAGAGAACTAACAAAGCATGAGAAAAAATAAAATATATATACCTTGTATTCAAGCCACAGGCGACCTGTAAGTAAAACAATGATTTGTAAGATATGAGTTTACCTCCAACTGTCAAAAGAAAATTATCGCTTTATCAAAACACTTGAGAGATTAAATTCCCTGTCTTCATTTCAGGGAACTACAGGAAATAAACCTGTCAACATTAAAAAAACAAACAACCCAAACCATTCAAATATATATATAAAATTATGTCTGGGACAATGATTTATCTTGTAATATTTTCTGTTAAAGACAACAAGAACTCCCTTCAGAGCCAAATGAAGGCATTCAAATCATGGCCCATATGGTCACCAATCCATTTCAGATGTTCAGATATTTGTAAACATTCAAATGAATGACAGTTTTGTATTTCTTGGTGAGGAAAGCCTCTGCTATATGCTCTCAAGACATTAATACACTATTTAAACTGTCTTTTAGTTTTAAATCAGTCACATAATGGCAGTAAGAAGTGCACTGCACTGCAGTAAAGTGACACTTCCTAAAGAAAAGGTAATGAAAAGTAAAATCCTGACTGGATTACTATCTAGCTGCTTCTCTATAAAAGCCTGGTGATCTCACCACACTGTTACGGGGGGCAGGCAGGGAGGTGCTAAAATAAAGAGGAAGAGAATGAAGTGCAGTAAGAGGAAGAGGATGAACTGGAGGAATGGGAAGAAAAATATGAGGCAAGGAGGAACCAGAAGCAACAGTGGAGGAAGAACAGAAGGCTATAGGATAAACAGGGGCAGCAGGCAGAACATGAAGATGACCGGGAGACATAGGAGGGAGATGATGATGAAAACAGGATGAGGAAGAGGAAGAGAGGGAGAAAGAACAACAGGAACAAAGGGAGTAGGGTGGATGATGAAAACAGGATGAGGAAGAGGAGGAGAGGGAGAAAGAACAACAGGAAGAAAGGGAGTAGGGTAAGAGAGATGTGGAAGTGATTAGTGACTGTCTTAGCTTCCCTAGCATTTTACCTCTAAATCAGAAACAGCACTTTCCTCTGCAGTTCCCTTAAACACCATGAGGAAGACTGTCAAGGTCTTGCACACAGAAGTATATATACCTTGTAGGCAGAGTGTATGTCAGAAGTACCTAAGCTGGCTTTGAATAGGCTAATTTACCTCCACTGCATACCTTGGTGCAAAGTTTATGGCAGGCTTAAAAACTGTGTGTTGGTTTTAGCTGGGATGGAGTTAATTTTCTCAGTAGCTAGTGTAGTGCAGTGTTTGGATTCAGAGTGAGAATACTGTTGATAGTACACTGATGTTTTGGTTTCTGCTAAGTTGTGCTTATCCTAAATCAAGGATATTTTCTTTCTTGTGCCTTATGCTCTGCCAGTGAGAAGGTACACAAGAAACTGGGAGGGAGCATAGCAGGGACAGGTGACCTGAACTAGCCAAAGGGATTCAATGCAGGTCCAGTGGCCCTGAACTAGCCAAAGGGATATTCCCCATCATGGCACGTCATGCCCAGTGTTACAAGCAGGAAGGGGCTGATCTGGGGGGAGGTTTGGGGTTGTGCCAGTCTGTAGGTGGTGAGCAATTGTATTGTGCATCACTGATTTTGTTCTTTTTATTATCCATTAGCATTTTAGCTCATACTGCTATTATTATTAAACTGCTCTCAATCTACGTATTTTACTTTATTTTTTCTCCTCCCCATTCCTCCGGGTTGGGGGGGGAAGTGGGGGGAGGAGGGAGGAGGGAGTGTGAGCGGCTGCGTGGTTCTTGGCTGCTGGCTGGGGTTAAACTACAACAAACTGGAATCATAACCTTACCTCAGGTCTCTCAACATGCTACTCCACTGTGCAGCACAAACAAGTTAAGAGTTCTGGGTCAAATATTTTCCCAAAAAGTATTTTTAAGGTCTCGTAAGTAAAAATATGCAATGGAAGTGTTGAATACATAAAGTATTTGAAAGTAAATATGAAAAAGCAAAGAAACGTGAGACAACTTTGAAGGCAGTATTAGTAAATACTCCTTATCCAGCACCAAGGCAACTTACTTTCACAGCTGGTAGCGTAATACAGCAACAGCTATATAGCCAATATGATTTCATTTGTTAGTGAAGAAAATAAGTGTCTCCTGAATATACTAAAAATCACTGATAAGCTGAAAAGACAGTTTTTAAAACTTTTCTAAAAAATGAAAAGCACTGTTATAAAAATATGTAAAAAAATGAAATTATTTTAGACTGCTTTTTTTAATTTGTAGAATTTGTTTTTCCTAATCTCATCATAATCATATGAGTTCAATACACAACTGATACCAAATGAAAACAAAAGGCCATCACCTCCAGGAAACGCTGAGGATCACACTCATGAACAAGCTTTTCACAGTCCTTCAAAAAATTCTCAATGGTCTTCTTGTGAGTTTCCTTCATTTTCTTCCAAATCTGAAATTCTTTCTCTTTTTTACCTCTTTGATTTTCAACGTCTTCTAGTAATTGCTCTTTTTTCATTTCCAGAGTTCTGATAATTTCTCCAAACCCCAGCTCAATTATCTCCACATCATTGTCCAGCACCACCTGCAAGCATGAGAACATAAGAACAGATGAAAAATGCAATGGCAATGGCCACAGAGTCACTTCTCTAAGTAAGCTCAGAATACATGTATGCCACAAGAAAAACCAATATGCTCCCTGTTGTCATTAGCCTATCATGAGAAGAGAAACAAAGAAACACACACAAATGTAATATCCAGCATCTGTAACTCACATTGGTATCATTTGGCTGTCTTGAGATCTCATCCACCAGCTTCTCATTTATTATTCTCATTCGTTTCAGACTGCTGAAGAAGTTTAACTGCAAGACATTTGAAACAGTTATAATGACTTTATCCATTCCATAAAATAAATACATATCAGTGATTATCTAGAATCACATGATGGGATATTCTGCACAACATATGAAACAAAGGTTGAGATGCAAAACATCACTTAATAGCATTTAATGCTTTTCTGAACCAGTACAGAAACTTTTTTATGCTGTTTCTCAAAGTAATATTCTTAGGCTCACCCACAACGCATACTGCTAGAACAGCTACTTTATAGTTAAAACATTGTTTTCCTCAGCCTTTTTTTAACCTCTCTCCCCACACACACCTCTATCACAATATGTTTTCCTCAGCCTTTTTTTAACCTCTCGCCTCACACACACCTCTATCACAATATAAGTTTTAATGCTCTTATTCTAGTTTGACAAGAAACTCTGTGATACTCACTTTTTTAGGCCTCACATTGATAAAATAGAAAGCTGTTCATAACCAAGATTAGGTTAAAACCAAACAGAAATATATTATCACTTTATTTTCCTCTTTTACCTCACTATAGCATTACGCTGGATGTCGAGTGCACAGACTGTGTCCCCCAGGGTTTCCCAAGTGACATGCAAGGTGATGGGACAGGCAGGAGGAAAACTGGTGTAAAAGCATTTTTTGTCTTAAAGAACAGTCAGTGCTGTACTTCAACTTTTACACTTGTACTTTTCATCACTGCCCTGTAGTTGCTTCAATTGTTGCACAGCAGAACTGCTTTAAGACATGCTACCCTGCACACAACTCGCATGGGGCATGAGAAGCTCATCCTGCCCAAACATTAGCTATTTTGGCAAAAATCACAACTACTACAGCCAGCCAAACCACCATTAGGCCAGGCAGTTGCTTCCTTCATGCAAACTAAAGTGTAACTTGGTTTTATACTTAATTATTACCCACACAAAGTATCTACATCTAAACACGTAATTATCTATGACCCGAATTACCTATGGCAGCTCAGGGACCCTATAAGCAAAACATCTGTGGGTGAGTTTTTTTGTGTTGTTAACAGGACTAGCATTTCCTGAACTTGGAAAAACTGGATCCAGACATGCAATAAACTCTTAGTATCAGCGTTCTTTCAACAAATTTCAAAAAAAAAAAAACAAAAAAAGCCACAAACCAAACCACTACCACCAAAAACCCCAGCTCTTCAGATGCTACGGTAAATTGGGCTGAGCCCCGCTGATGCTGTAATACCGCCTGGTGCCCGGTGTGTGGTGGACGCGGTCTGACAGCAGAGCTGCACCAACTCCCGACTCCGGCCCAAAGCAGCACAATCCCTCACTGCCTTCCCCGCGGTTTTCCCTGCGCTTCTGACCAAAAGCAACCCGAGCCCGCGCACCGCCCGACCTCCCGGCTGTGCCCTCGGCGCGGAGGGCAAGCCCCGCGCTTACTTTTTCCTCCTGGTACACCGTGTCTATGAGGTTGACGGAGTGGAAGATGCCCTGGTGGTCCTCCGAGACGCACTGCCCGCAGCCCGCCTGGCGGCACATGCGGCAG